ATTGTTTATCAAACTTTTTTTGTAATAAGATTAAAATTATGAGAATACATAACATTGGAAAAATATTGGTGCAATAAAAATTTTTAGTCGGAGTCCCTCTCTAAAAAAACTTGCAAACAAAGAAAAGTGTATTATTCGTCATATGAGAAGCAGCTGCAGAAAAGGATGAGAAAGGAACAAGAATCTCATATAATTTCGCCTTCGAACACACATCGAGACATCTGACCTTTTTGATGGTTATCTTTTTTTACGAAATTTAAAGAACGACGAAAGATTGAAGACTTAGACTGTGAAACAAAAATGAGTGGACAAAAACAATTGAAAAAGTGCATTGAGGTCTTCTGAAAACCAGAAGGCGTCAGGTTTCAAACACTTCCACACCACTTTTTGACACATTTAGTATACGAAAAATGGCTATAGCTTTAGCAGGGGAAGACGGAAGGGAATGTGTACTTTAAAGGAGATGGAAAGAGAAAAAAAGAGCGGAGATCAACGGAGATCGGCTAACAAGGGAAAGCTAATCAGCGGTTCATAAGAAAATCAAGTGATGACAGAAGAAAAAACGAAAGAAAGGAGAGATTGATTGATGTGGGGTTGCCAGTGGAGAGGAAAATGAGGGGAAAGTTTTGGTTTGGAGACTTAATTGTGTAAGAAGGTGGAGGAAATGAAGACCGAGGTGGCTAGTAGAGATTGGCAGATGGTAGAAAATCTAGAGTTTCTGACTTCTTCTATTTAGAATCCATGATTCACAGGATCAAAGATTCCAAGAATTGAAGAGTTCGTAGGTTCTGAACCTTCAGTACGATAGAATTGGCATAGGCCGCAAGATAGACAAAATCTAGAGCAAGGATGCATCTCATCTAAAACTTTGATAACAAGAAAAATTTGAACCCTGAAGATCGCTCAAAAAATTCAGAATCATACCGGATAATATATTTTTAAAATGTTTTGAAAAAATGTATCTAAATGAGATTTCTAATTAGAAAATATCTGAAAATTTCTCAAAGCATTTTTATGACCTTTTTTTCAGACATCCAACTTCGACCATTTTCCACTGGTATCTAATCACGGTTCTCGCTTTTGAAATCAACGACTGAAAACAAATATGTTTATTCTGACTCAAAAATTGAAACTGTGGCCGTGGCCGAAGATCCCACAACGATAACTATACCGTAACCTATTTTCTCTATTTCTGTACGTTTTCAGTCAATTTTCCGGCTTGTCTGAGGGAAAATAACAGAAAACTCGAAAAAAATCGCTAATAAGCGAGAAAATAAATCCTGAGAATGGAAATATTTCAGTGTTACTGTAGTTTTCGTTGTCGGACTTTAGGCCACAGCCATCGGCGTGTCTCTTCCACAGAAAAGATTCAAGAGTTTTTTTTAGAATTTCAGCATTTTCACTTTAGAAAAGTATTCTTTCGAAAACCATTTTTTTTCTCTAATTTGAGAAGATTAAATTGGTCACAAACCAGCATCCAATTCTTCAAAGGAAAAAAAGAACAGACTATCGAAAAAAAACGGAAGGACAAGGAGAAAATCAGCAAAAAATGGGAATTGTCTGGAGAGAAAGAGAAAGAATCAACTAGCCGTGTCTTCATTCTCAATGACCACTCAAAACTATGTGTTCACTTTTTTCCTGTAACGCCTACTTCTTCTTCTTCTTCTTTTTCTTCTTTTTGTATAATTAGGGAAATTGAAGGAAATAAAAATACATGGATAAGCGGAATGGATGAGCACGGACAACAGTTCTTGTGTTGACTTTGGGCAACTGCATATTCGATTGCACATCATACAAACATACACGAGAAACAAAGGCTCCGCGATGAGCATACGAGTGGGCCTATTCTATGGGAACCAGATGAATTTGGGTCGGAGAGCATGACGTGGCAAATAATTGAAAATGACACCCCTACGAACTTTTAGTCGGAAAACGAATTAATGAGTGAGAGACATTGGAACACATGAAAAGACATGCGTTGCTACGGAAGACTCGATTCTCTCCCTATGCCATACATCCGCTGAGCAAACAATCCTCTCCGTACTCCGTTAGAACCGTTTTGCATTAGTCTTCTTCTTCGTGTTCTCTTAGAAATATGATGTATTTTTTGTAAAAGAGAGAAAGAGATGGAGAGACTCACGCAATCTTCAGCTGTTGTTTTATGGTCTACAGTCAGCTGGAAGCATTGCAGATGGTGGATTTTGAAAACGGATGGCGTCGCAGATGTTGTTGGAAAAAGGTTAACAGGTTGGGTGCAATGTAACAGTTTGAAATCCAATGTCTTATAAATGCCGATTCCACAGTTTCATGAGTAATGAATCCCAGAATTACAAAGATCCTGGGTTCTGAACAGTTATGTTTCTAGTTTTAAAATATGTGAACTTTTTTTTTCAATTTTTGTTGAATATACGGTTTCAGGCTAGTGGTTGCGGCCAAAAGTTCAAAGTGGGCGGAGCTTAGGTTTAATAGTAAATTCCTTAAAGAGACATGTATTTTCGTGAGTATTTCTGGCCGTTTTTTGTTTTCTTTGATCGATTTCGTCAGTTTCAAGCTTCTTTTTTTCACAAAAATCAGATAAATCTCAAAAATTCGAATAAAAACGAAAAAATAGACCAACAGACAATTATGAAAAGTACCTGCTTTTTAAAGGATTTCGTTACCGGAACTAAATTTTTCGCCACCTTAGGCCAGAGTAATAGCCTAATCTAGCTCGTCTGGGCAGGTGCAAAATATCTAAAGTCGAATCGAAAATTTCAAAAGCGCGAAAGTTCGAGCGCATATTCCCCATCTCCATCCCAAGAGTCAAATTTAAGTATATTTGAAATCCCACTAATTATAGGGTATAGATTTTCGAGAGGGGTCTATTTTTGAAACCCAGAAATGGAAAGCTTCAGAATCTTCGTCTATAGCATTTCTACCAAAATCCATTTTCCATTTTTTTTTCTCACTCATCTAAAACGAAAGTATTCAAATTATGCAAGGTTACACCTCGTTGTTTCCCTCTCTAGAAAAAAAACCGTAAGGCATCGTTAGCATAAGGATTCTCCTTTTTTGAATATTTGTCCTTTCAGGTAACCCCCGAAAAGCCATGAATCAACCTGAGAAAAAAACTGACGCCAGTGTCTAGTTTCGCAATTCCCGAAAGAGAAAAATATGTGGCATTGAAACTGAAAATTACCAGGTGTCTTCTCGATTTTCCGAAGAGAGTGTCCTCAATTATATCTCGGGAATAATGAAACAATATACAATACAACAAGAAAAAACAAACAAAAAGGGTAAAAATAGAAAAAGAAGAAGCTGAAGAGGGGCTGAGCTCAACATTTTGCTCTCCTTTCCCCCCTTTCACTTCTGATTTATGGCTCGAAACATGAAAAGGAAAGGGGAGAAGGGTGTTCCTCTCTCTCACTGGGAGTTTTGATTAATTGAGGTGTACTACCTGCAAAGGAAACGAAAAGCCAACGGCTACTACTAATCCCTTTCCGTAACGAATTCGGGAGTTTCGATGGAGGAAGAAGTACTAGGAAAACATGGAGAAACGGGGGAACACAACTACTCATGACAACAAACAATTTTTATGGGCACGCCTTCGACAATGACTTCTTTGGGACACAGGAAATATATACGATGAGACGAGGGAGAGAGTAGGGTTCTTTTTTTTGCATGAATGAATTGCGAAATTTGGACGGATTTCTTATTTTTTGAACGAATCATCTTCAAAAAGTGGTTTTTAAACAGACCGGAGAGTCGAGTCACTAATGGAACATGCACCGACAGTGTTCTCGCTTAGGCAAATACATTTATATAGGTTTCTTGTTACTTTTCAATATATTTTTTCAATCGAAGCTTTAACACGATCTTGACTTCTCTTGAAACAATTTTGTGGCTCTTTTCGTCGTTTTCGAAAACATTTTTGGAAATTTTTCTCTCAATAAATCAATTATCGTAACAGTTTTTTCCTGAAATGTCGGCTTATCTGAAATGATCATACTTGCAACGGGCCGATCCGGGCTTTTTTCAGAATTTTCAGGGCCCGGCACGGATTTTCGGAAGGAATTTTTTCTGCATTTTCAAAAATATTTTTGGAGTCGAAAGAAAAAATGGACGATTTTTCTGACAAGAAAAAAATTATCAAGATAAGAGTGTCCATATTCTTTCATGAAAGCTTTCACAAAACAATTTGAAAAAATTTCTGAAATTTCAAATTTTTTTTTCAAATTTCGAAAACCCGGGCCCTGATTTTGCAAGTATGGAAATGATTGTGTGTCTGTTATCGTCTTAAGACTAGAGTGCCGAGTCGACTCGAAAATCGATGATTTTTGTCGACTTTGAAAATCGACACAGTCGACATTCAACAATTCGACAAGGCTATTTGTCGATAAAAATCGAACTTTTCGTTGTCGATTTTTGTCGACTTTCAGTCGACGAAAGTCGACGAAAATCGATTCTTGTCGATTTTGCGTCGACTGAAATGGACAGAAATCGACAAGAATCGACTTTTGTCGATTTTGCGTCGACTTAAAATCGACAGAAAAATCGACAAAAGTCGACAAAAAGTCGACAAAAGTCGACGAAAAATCGACTTTTCCGGACTACAAAGTAAAATTTCACTTCGAGAAAATTTTTTTCTAATTTTTTGAAGAAATCATTTTTGTGTAGAGTAACAACTTTATTTTTATGAATAAAAAACAAATAGTGTAAAACTTAATTTCAACGGGGTACAAAATAGAAAATCAGTATTCAGAAGATGGCAAGGAAATTAGAAGAAAATTCAAAGCGACAAATTTTGAAAAAGAGAAGAAACAGCAGAACAAAGTTCAGCATAAGGAATTAATGTTTCATTATTGGGCCAAATCGTTTTCAAAAGTATCATAGTTATGCTCTCTGGAATCGTAATATTCTACGCCTTCTGAGTCATCATTCTCGTCATCATATTCGTACTCTTCTGTTGTATTCTTCTTCGTAGATCTGAAGAAAAATCAGACTTTGAGGAAAAATAAGTTTTAATATCTTACTCCAAAGTGATTTTTTCCAATTATTTGATGCCGTGGCTCTTGATCTTTATGTACTATCTAAGATTAAGAATTTAACGAAAAATATATAATTTTCTGCGTACCGATCTTTCCATTTCTACAACTTCTTTCTCGTGGTGACTGTTTAAGTGCTGATGCATCGTTGTGGTCGAAGAATGGAGCTTTATGCTCCTTCCGCACAGTTTACAGGTCACAGTTTGTCCGTTATTTTGTTTTTTGAAGTATCGCCACGCTTTAGATTGATTTTGTGACGAATTCATCTGCAATAAGCAAGAATGTCATAAATGAAACAGAAAAAAAACAAAACACCCAAAAAAAAAACAAGGAAAATACGGTTTTTCAGTAGAAAATTCGATGAAAAATGCCTGTTTTTCATGAAAAATACCCCGGCCACAGGCAGTTTCTAGGTCACCGGCCGTGTAGTCCTCTCGGACAATAAAGTCGACAAAAGTCGATTTTTTCATCGATTTTTCGTCGATTCTTGTCGATTTTGAGTCGATTCAAAATCGACAAAAATCGACAAAAGTTTGCTTTCATCGACTTTTGAAAAGTCGATTTTCTGTCGACTTTTTGAATGTCGATTTTTGATCGAGTCGACGAAATCGACACCGATTTTAACGATTTTCGTCGATTTTTGTCGATTGTCAACAATCGACACAGCACACTACTTAAGACTTAAAAGACATCGAAAATTTTAATTTTTCAGAGATTTTTTCTCGAAACTAGCATGTGCCTTTAAGATTACAGTAATCGGCAAAATATATTTTCGGATTTTTTCTCCAAAAAAAAAGAGGACAGCATTTTATGTTTCTTCTGACTTTTCGAAAAATCTTTCCGCCGTTTTTCAAATGGACTCATCAAATAAAGAATGTTCGAAATTCGAAACATCTGTTTCTGCCTCGACCCGATTAACAACCCATTTTACGACTAAATGAGTACCAGTTTCTCGTTTTTTCCGAAAGACAAAATACAGGTCGCCTGAATTAAAAGAGCGTTTGCAGTTTTCAAAAAAGTTTCATTTCGGGCTAGAGAGAAAAAAATTGCAGATTCTTCAATTCATCGTAAACACAACAAAGAAAAGAGAGTACGGTTTTTTATTATTGAATTGAGGCAAAAAAAGAGCATGATTCATACCTTTACTTTACTGCAAAACAGGCAAAGTCTCCAGGTTTTTCTGAAAAAAAGGAAAAAGGGATGAGAGGCGAAAAACAACCAAAAGAAGGGAACGGTTGATTTTTAGTTACCGTAGAATACAATTGGGACGAAAAACCGGTGCGTGATGGGATGAGGACAACCTTGGTTTTGCCCGTTTCTCCTCCCTCCGAAGCAGCTGTGAAGTAGAAGAAGAAGAGTCCTCTCGGAACATTTGCTAATTAGGTGTCGTGTCCTAAAACCTGGCAACAATAAGAAGACAGAAACTAGGGCACAAAAACTCAACGGCGAGGAAAACTTTACTGAAATTAAAATTTAAAGAAGTAATGATAGATGACAGAACGGAAAATTTCTAGTTGTAAGGGAAAAATAAGTGAGACAGCCAGAAGTTGTCTGTTTTAAAAAATCTCTACATACATTTTGGGGATACGGGCGGAGGCGGGGCGATGAAAAGTGAGTTACTTTTCGAAAGGGATGGAATGGTAATGAATCACAATCGCACAGGAAACTAGATGGAAGAAGAAGAAGACATGAGACAAGGAGCAATCAAAAAGAAGGAATATTTTGTTTAGAATAATGATATTAACATTTTTAGTTTTTTTTTCATAAAACAAAGAAGAAGCGATAGAAAAGTTGACTAAAAATTATTTGTGTCGTGTTTTTAGTGTGCAAGCGGAGGCCAAGTCAGTTTACAGAATTGGGATGTAGTTGTCAATCTTGGTGCGGTGTCGTTGGGAGATGCATTCGGCGATCCAGATAATGTTACGCATCTCTTGCTCCTAAAAAATAGTTAACTTTAGGGTCTCTTGGGAACTCTGAACTAACCTTCAGTTTGATGAATGCGTAGAAGACTCCAAAGTGAAATTGATGAAGATAGGAGTGTACGTTAAGTTTGACCTCATGCTCGAAGAACTTATCCTCCAAAGTCTTCTCTCCTGGTCCATTTCCAGATCCTTCGAAAAGTGGCTTGTAGTCGGAATAGAATTCACAAACTTGTTTCACTTGATCGTAATCATCAGCACGAGACAGACTGTTAAGTCCATCTGGGTAGAGTTTTCCGCAACGTGGATACAACTTTTGACGATCGTCCTTGCTCAACTCGGTGTCGAAGGAGTTGATGGTGATGATGATCGAACGACGGTCGGCTTCGAACTGAAAATTTATTTTTCGTTCAGGATTAATAGAAATATTTTTTCGTTTATCGAATTTCAGGTGTAAAACCCCCTCACTAGAGAAGCGTTAATCACCGCATTTGACGTCACGAGGCGAAAAATATTTAAAAAAGAGTTTGCTTCAGCTACTCAGCGTTGGGATGAACAAAAACCAGGTAGACCTGGTGATGGGGCGATAGTTAAAAAGCTACAAAAACTTTTAAACACTCAGGGAATATAGTTTAATATCTAGTTTCTTATACACAGGTAAAATGCGAACGGATCCGTTACGGACGCTCAGCGTTCGCGCGCGGTTGAAATAGGAACCGTGTACGGACCGCACGCGACCCGTTTTCAGAAAACCACAGCACATTATTCCGTATTCCTCCGTATTGTGTCCGTTCTCGAACTCCGTATCCGATCCGCTTGCGAATGATGGACAAACAGGATCCGTTCGCGAATCAGACAAA